TCCAGGAAGTGAATAATTGTGAGCTAGTTCTAGACTCAAGGAAAGTGTGATCTGGGGCCAGCAAAAGCTGGCAAGGTTGAGTGGGTGCAATACAGCAAGCCTAGTTGTTAAGTACCCTCAAGTCGATTCTGAATCATAGTGACCCTGTATAGGGTTTTCTTTCAAAGAGTGGCTGGTGGGTTTGAACTGCCAACTTTGTGGTTAGTAGTCCAGTTGGATCCTACAGCACCACCCCAGGACTCCAGCAAGTTCAGAGTAGACCCTCAATGTCTCTAAGGACCCTTGTTGGCAGCCCTGGACCCTCACTGTCTTTGTTGTTAAGTACCGTTGAGTCGATCCCGACCCATAGCGACCCTGTGTAGGGTTTCCGAAGAGCAGCTGGTGAGCTTGAACCACCAACCTTGCTGTTTAAACTGCTTTGCAGTCTGGTGCATTAACCCACAGCGCCACACCAGGACTCGCTGTCTTAGGTCCCTATAAAGTCCATCACTTGCCCCGTATTAACCTGGCCACTATGTCAGGATCTGAACTGAGCTGCATTTCCCACCACCTGTGTGGGGACCACAGCCTGAAGGAGCAGGATGCACTGTAGGCCTAGAGCCTGGGTGGGGGAACGGGGACTGGGAGCCTCGTTGCTTCCCAGAAAGAGCCAGGAGACTGGATGGAGTGGGCACATGGGGACTAAGACTTCACCTAGCCTGCCCCTGACTCTGACAGCAGCAGTTTGGGGTGGGAGAATGCTAGGAGGGCTGTCTGGGGACTGAGTGAGGACAGCTGAGCTCCAGTCTCTGAGGCCCATCCAGAGGGCGGTCCTGGTATAGACCACAATGGTGAGGGAGAGGTGTGGCACTGGCCCGCACATGAGGAACTGCATCTTGTCCCTTATTGTCTCCTTGGAGCATAGAATGGAGGTGACGTTAAGCACTTGATTCCTAACCAACAGGTTAGCAGTTTGAACCTACCTAGCAGCACCTCAAAAGAAAGGCCTAGTGATCTTTCAAAAGGTCACCACCTTGAAAACCCTACAGCCCCTAATAATGCTCTGCACACAGGGGTCTCCGTGAGATGAAATGTACTGATGGTAGTTGGTTGTCTGGCACGGAGAGAGCCTTCGACAAATACATGAATACATGAATGCACAACTGAATGAACTGAATGGATTGCCATGTTCTGGAAAACATGGTGAAGTGGTCCTTGGCCTCAAGGAGAGACAGCCGCACACATCACAGAAGAACCCTCGTGGCACTGTGGCTGAAGTGCTTGGTGCTAACCAAAAAGTTGGCTGTTTGAACCCATCAGCTACTCTGGGGATGTGGCAGTCGCTTTTAGTGGAGATGACAGCCCTGAAGTTCTGTGTCCTTGTAGGGTCTCCATGAGTTGGACTCACTCTATGGCAGAGGGTAGAACATGTCCTTTGAACAGTGTTAGAGGAAATAGGGAGTGCTTGTGTGGCACTGTGGGTTAAGGTGCCAGACTGCAAAGCCATTTGAACTGCAAGCTCAGCGCTTCAAGCTCACCAGCTGCTCCTCGAAAACCCTATACAGGGTTGCTATGGGTCAGAACCGAGTCGACAGCACTTAACAGAGGAAACAAAGCTCAGCGAGGAAGATCACCAAGGAAGGAGACCAGAGAGGGCAAGGAACGGGGAAGGCCCGGAGGGAGAAACAGTCCTGTTGTGGTGGTGTAACAGCCAGTGCACAGACCCTGAGGGGGAACTCATTTGCCATGGACAGCAGAGGGACTCAGGGAGCTGAGGGTGAGGCCTTGTAGTCCAGGTTTCCCCAGGGGGACAGCTGTCAGTTGGGCGGTCTGCTCAATCAGTCCCAGCGCTGTTACTTGAGCAACCTTACTCTTGTGGCCTTGTGGATTAATGCATTAGACTGCAAAGTCAGTTTGAACCGCAAGGTCAGCAATTCAAGCTCACCAGTCGCTCCTAGGAAACCGTATACAGGGTGGCTATGGGTCAGAACTGACTTGATGGCTCTTAACTCTTCCTCCACATGTGTGCATCCTGTTCCAGATGGTCCCAACTCCCTGAGGTTCCACCTTTGGAGCGGAGGTTCCTTATGGCAACTGTTCCAAACATTAACTGGACATTGATCACCATGGGATGTCTTCAGTGTATCCATTCTTCTCCGTGTACCAGTACCTCCCCTGGTCTGGCTCTGGCTGGGGCCTAGGCCTGGGCCTAACGGTCACACCAGTGACTTTTCTTGTTCAAAACTCCTCCAGGTTTCCTCAGATCTTAACTGGGTACTGGTCCAGACTGATCCAGCTCACCCCTGCCTTCACAACACCCACCCGCAGATCTCTCATTATCCTGGTCTTTCTGCCCTTTAAATGCTGCCTCCCCAGGAAGTCACAGGAATGTGACACACTGCTCTGCTGGGCCGCCAGAAACTCATATGTGATTAGTACCAGAGGTCTTCCTCTTCCAGATAGTTCTCAGTGATATGGTGGGGTGTGAGGTTAAGAGGGGAGGTGGGTGGTGCTGAGTGACAGAACCCAAGTTTCCCCTACCAGAAGGGTCCCCTAACACACACCTCTCCCATACAGTTGGGGTGAAACAAGGAGAGCCTGCATGGCTGTGTTGAACACTGTGATCAAGTGTGAGGTAGCTGTGCCAAACCCACTTTACTCTTCCCGGCCCACAGCCACCCCTGCACTGGTTAGTGCTCTAGGACAAAGCAGTCAAGTCATTTGAACTGCAATGTCAGTGGTTCAAGCTCAGCTGCTCCTTGGAAACCCTAGACAGAGGCAGAACTCTCAGTGGCAATGAACAACTATGGTTCTTAGCAGGAACAAATCAAAGTCCAGGAAAACCATGCTGGTGGTGGTAGTAGACATCTTCAGATTCTGTGGTGTCTCCATCTACTATGCCAGGTTAATGAACCCCCAAAGAACCCTCCCCTTATCTAATGAGAGGCAGGGTCAGCAGCTTGAAATGACCAGCAGTTCCACAGATGAGGCTTTCTGCTCCCAGATTTGCATCTTTGAAAAGCCTCTATAGGGTCCGAGTCAGCATATAACCACCATCACATCTGCTGGCCCCAGCCACATTTCCTCCAGTTAGCTTTCAACCACCACCCTCCAACTGTGCTCAAGTGGCCTGACCAACCTGGTGCTTGCTTGGAAAAAAGGTAGCCAAGCCAGGCTGCTTTGGCACAAAGCACGACAGGGCCAGGTCTCCTGTGCCACCACTAGGGGCCTCTCCCTGTTAATGGGAGGGAGATGCAGTGAAGAGGCCACAGCTGCACTATGGTCCTGCTGGGAACAGACATCTCAGGAGTCTAACTCCTACACTCATACTTGGCCTGGGGCCCACTCCTGGGATCCCAGGGCCATGAACACCTCCTTCCTGGACACCCACCAGGGAGCCACAGCTCACTCCTTCTGTTTAAACTCAATCCCTGAGCATTTCTGCCCCCCTTCCCCCACCAGCGACTACTGCCCCAGTGCAGGACTCCCTTCCCAGGGCCTTCTTGTTGTCACTGAAGGTCTGAAGAAACAGAAGACAGAAAAACCAGACTGGAGACAGCTTTGTTAGAACAACTCAGCAAAATAAAATTCCGGTTTATTGTTGGACAACATTGTTTCACACATACATCAAACAGGCCAAAAAAAATAAACAGCAACTTCATAGACAAAAAAAAAA